CATGTGACCTTCTAGATCCTTGGGTGCAGCCTTTTGACTGAGTCCAAGTTTTACAAAACACATGCTTTTATTAAGGGGATTTGTTCTGTGAAGTTTGGAAAGGGCTGCACTTGAAGACCTAGAGGGCCACATTCTGGGCATGGGGGAAGAGTCCTTTTTACCCTTCTGTGATTTAAATGCTTACTTTGCCTTCATAAATAGCATCAGCCACAGGTTTTTGTTAGCCTGGGTGTAAATTCAGTGGAGAGGGGCAATGGAGGGGTAGGGGGGTGGAGGGTGCTTTACTAGAATACTATCTCTGGCTGGGGGCTCACAAGTTTAAAACCAAAACAAAACAAAATGACATATAAAGTATAGGCCGAAAAATAGTTTATACTGTATTAGGAAACCCACCTAAGCCATGAGTCAATAGTAGGGTGTGGAGGACAGTCAAAACAGGCTGAATAATCCTGTTCACTGCCCTACCCCATCACTGCTACATACAAAATACAATATTTACTTATTTTTGCACACGATTATTTGCCCCCAATAGCATGTAAGTTCCTAAAGGGCAGGGATTGTTTTGTTTTTGTCTTTGTACTCTCAGTGCTTGGTAAATAGTAGGTGTTTAATAAATGCTTTTTGATTGACTTATATTACAATTTGGTGATTTCAGAAGTGACTAAAAATCAGACCCAAAGAACTGGGGTTGATGGAGTGATGGTAAGCTCTAAGAATGTCTCTATGGGATTGCATTAAACACATTCCTTTGGCCCTGGTCTCTTCAACATTTTTATCCAATGGACATGAAATAAAAGATGGCACACTCATCATATTTGTGGATGACACAAAACTTGGATGGCTAACTAAGAGGTTGGATGACCAAAAGGTTGGAATCCCAAAAGATTTCTGTGGGCTAGAAGCAGATTAGAAGGATGGGCCAGATCTAATTAATAGCATGAAATTCCATGGCATCATGCATACAATTTGGAGGCAGAATGGGCACTAGAGATCATTTAGTCCAATCTTATCATTTCATAGATGAAGAAATCAAAGCCCAGAGAAATTCAGTGCCCAAAGCTTACAGAAGTAGAAAGAAAAGCGAGAATTTGAATCAAGGCTCCATGGTTCTATATACTACATCCCATAGAGATAAATTTAAAGTCCTACATTTAGGTTCTGAAATAATTTACTCCACAAGTAGAAGATGAGCTAGATTGTAGTTAGTGTGAAAAAGAACTGAAGTTTTTAAGGGACTTCAAGCTCATTAAGAGTCAACAGTGTGACAAGGCACTCCAAATAGGTTAATGTGATTTTTTAATTTTGTTTTTTTTTTTTTGGTTCAGGTCTGGACTAGTGATTTTGTTGGTAAGATGGCTCCCTCTACCAATACAGGTCTGCAATTGCTCTGCAACTTTTCTAGACTTAGTTGCCAGGGTACACTGAATGTTTAAATTACCTGGAGTTACAAAAGTGGAAACTTGAACCCAGGCCTTCCTGACCCTTTGGCTAGCTCTCTATTACTATGCCATGCCTAGAATTCAGGATACCGTTCCCTACGTTGCTTCTGTGTTTAGTTCTGAACATCATAATTTAGGCAGGTACACACCCAGAGGGTCAGGACGGTGATTGGAGTAGAAATCTGCCTAACAAAGATTTCCAGAAGGAACTGAAGAGATTTACCCTGGAGGAGGGAAGACTTAGGAAGGCTATGATAGCGTATGATATCTGACTTCTGTCATAAGATGACTAGTTCAACTTGTTTTGCTTGACCCTGAGGGTATAACAAGGACCAATGGGTGGCAGTTACTGAGAAGCATATTTTGGCTTTTTTTTTTTTTGAGAAGCATATTTTGGTTCCACGTCAGTAACCAAACAATTCCTAACAATTACAGCTGTCCAAAAGTGGGGTGAGCTGCCTCAGACATAGTGACTTCCCTGTCACTGGAGATTTCCAAACAGTCAGATAGGCCTTCGAGACACAAAGAAAATACAGGGATTAGAAAACACTTGTTTTTACTTGTTACGGATATTGCCACAGTGATTATTGCTAAGGCACAGGCCAGACTAAATGACTTCTAAAGTCACTTCCAACTCTGGGATTCTCTGATTTTACTTCATTTAGATTTGGCTTTTTCCTGGGGGGCAGGGGAGAGGGATGGAGAATGTCTATTTTCCACTATGAGGATCATGCCAGTTACCCCTTCAGGGTGTTTCCCTAAGGCTATGGGGGACTCAGTAATGGTCCACAGACATCACTGGTAGGTCTTAAGACTTAAATGTGATTCCTCAACAGCTGTTATTGTCTTGGGCCCCTGCCAGCTGTTCTGTTTCCCAGGAGATGATGGCTTCAAGGTAGTGGACCCTGGGACCTAAGAAGATCACAAGATTGTATATCAAGAGTGGGAGGGGACTTCACAGACTAACCTCCTCATTCTATTGATGAAGACACTGAGGTCCAGGGAAGCTCAAGGATTCATCCAAGGCCACAGGGGTAGGAAGTATTAGAAGCACAATTTGAACCCACATCCTTTGACTCCAAAGCCAGTGCTCTTTGCAGTGTACCATGCTGCCTGTCTAGCCAGAAGAGCCTTCAGAACATGAGGAAAAAATTGGGACAAGAAAATCTAAGATCTCCTACTCTTGTTC